TTTTTTTTTTTTTCTCCTTTTTGAGACAGGGTCTCATTATGTCATCCAGGCTAGTCTAAAGCTCACTATTGGGGGGTTTTGAACTGGAGAGAGATCCTCCTGCCTCAGCCTTCAGAGTGCTATATTACAGGTGTACACCAACATACTAAGTGTCAGGTATTATTTTACAGAATTACAACAGAATAACAATGAAACGGGAAAGAAGGAGGGCATATACTTTTCACCCTTAATCCTATGTGCAAAAAAATTAAATATTAAAAACAAATTAAATAAAACTGTAATTTTAAGTGCCTTGACAAGTTGATTCAAATAGTTAATAAAGCAACTAAGGATTAATGGAACTCCTTATTCGCTTTTAACCTTATTGCATGATAAGCAGATTAAGATCTCTTAAAGTAGTCTTGCAATCTATCAGTTTTCCGCATACACAAATCTACACAGACTTGGAAAAACCTGTCTAGATAACCTTTAGGTTGTAATGCAATTTAACAACCTATCAGAAAAAAATGTCTTGGTATGTAAGGAGGTTTGCAATACAATGATATCACACAATATAAAAGCAAGCTATAGAAAAAAATGAAAAAGTCACTACTAATACATCTTCTAATTATAATCTTTGAAATGTGAAGATCCAATTGTATTATGTAATTTATGCAAGCTACATTAAATCTAAAGTTGAAGAGTTTTCAATAGAATATTTAAGTAGCAATTGAAAAGGTAGATTCCAGCACTGAAAATTTTTTTCCACCTTCTAGAGAAATACTTCCCCCACTACAATTCATCACACCTTCCCCTCTGCATTATTAGTGGAATGGACAACAAACCAACATAGGACATTAGCCACTTATTGAAAATACTTTTACAATAAAACTTTAGAAATAGCTTACAGGGTCTGGGAATTTAGCTCAGCGGCACAGCGCCTGCCTGGCAAGTGCAGGGTCGCGAGTTCGATTCCCGGTATGAAAAAAAAAAAAAAATAGAAATAGCTTATAAAAGCCAGGCACGAAAAAAAAAATAAAGCGAGGCATGGTAGCACACGCCTGTAATCCCAGCAGTCAGGAGGCTAAAGCAAGGGGATTGCTTCGAGTTCAAGGCCAGCCTGAGCTACACAGCAAAACTCTATCTCAAAAAAACAAAACAAAAAAGACTGCGAAATTGTATCTTTAAAGCTGTTTATATAAACCAGCTGTGGTGATGTACGCCTGTAATCCCAGCACTCTGAGGCAAGAGGATCACAAATTCTACCCTGGGCAACTGGGTTACTTAGACCCTATCTCCGAAGAAAGGAAGGAAATGTAGCTCAGTACACTGACCCCACGCAAGAAAAGAACTTTACGTTTATAGTCCTGCTTTCACTCCTCACCACATTCTTCCAGCTATTAAGTGAACGTCTTAAAATGATTTCACCGGCAGTGTAATTGTTACTAAGTATATCACGAAATAAAACAGTTTACATAATCTGTTACCAGAAACTTGAGAAAGAACTGATTCAAGTCAACACCCTTTCGGTGCCTGCCCCCTTTTATTCTGGTTTCTGCCTACGTAACTGCCTACCCACGGGCATTTTTTGAAGTCCTACAGAGGCTTCCTTGTAAAGCAAACAGCAATCTTCTCTAAAAACATTTAGCAATGTTACTCACTGGCTACTTTCTTCAACTTCACAACAACATGAGATTCCACGGGTCAATTTAAGGGCTTCAGTATTACTCTACCAGTCTTAGTAAACCGCAGAGTAGGACAACTGAAGGAATTTGAGACGAGGTATAAAATCGTAAGACATTCTCACACCAAGTGACAAATCACAGCGCCACATGTACACCGTCCTCGGAGTGCAGCCCAACCTCAGAGCTGTGTCCTGCCCCGTTCCAAGGGATGTAAATAAAGGCTTTGAGAAATCAAACAGATCCTCCCATCTATTTGCTGCTTCTGCAGCTGAAAAACGAACGGGTTCTGGCAAGGTCTTGGGGGAGCCAGGGAGCCCCACGGGGTCTGCCAAAAGCCGTCATCCACTCACCCCAACTCTGAACGCGACCCCCGCGCACGGAGCCGCGGGGAGAGGACTGCACACCCCGCTCCCGCGGGCCCTGGGCGGGGCGCGGGGAAAGGCGCCCGCACGCCACGACCCCCCACTTGGGCGCGGGGACCGAATCTGCGTCTCCCCACCGACACCCCGGGCGTTGCAAACAGCGGGTGCTCGCCGTTGG